TGGAAGGCAGCTCCGGGCTGGAAGGCAGCTCTGCTGGGACGCAGCTCCAGCGGAGGAGGAGGAAACTGAGGAGTCTCTTGTCTAAACCCAGAAGCGGGAAGCAGGTCACCAGAGGGTCCACAGCGGCCTGTGAAGATCTTAGTGGGGTGGGTTCCCTCCTCCTTACCGGGAGTCAGGAGTGTGCCAGACGATCACAGTCACAGTTCCTGCTGTTAGCCCAAAGACAGCCGGTGAGCCGGGGAGGGGGAACTTACCTAAGCCAGATCAGTGGTGACTGCAGGGAGCCAGCGTCTGAAAGAGCGGACGAGGGCGGACTGTCTTGGCAGAGCCGAAGCCGGGGGCTCTGTTAACAGGAGCTCACCAGTATCCGAGTCACAGCACCACTGAAAGAAGCCTCCATGCAAGACAATTCGTCGGGGAGAGTTCCAATGTTATTGCAAAAGGCTGTGTGCTTACATAGATCTAAGGAGAGATGGCAGGGCTTAGATAATGGCAGGCCACCTGTTTATTGGCACGTTCTTCCAGATATCAATTCCGGAGCCCAGGAATTAGTTCTTATTGGGGCTAAGGTTCCCACCAGCAAGATTTGAAATTGGTGCTGGCAGGAGAGTCCACACCTGTGGGAACTTTTCATGCCAGTGAAAAAAGGGGAAAGTAGGAAGAGAAGGTCCTTAAGTGCCATTTGTTTTTTTTTTTTTCCTCAGGGGTGTGGCTGCCATTATACTTTTCCCAACAGGAGCCTATTGAATGGGAGAAACATCTTTACTACATGCACCTCAGATACAACAGTAATCTCTTAACACCAAAAAAACAAATGACCTAATAAAAAATGGGCTAAGGAATTGAACAGACACTTCACAGAAGAAGAAATACAATCTATGAACAAATATATGAAAAAAGTTGCTCAACATCTCTAGAAATTAGAGAAATGCAAGTCAAAACTACAAAAGATTCCATCTCACTCCAGTCAGAATGACAATCATCAAGAATACAAGCAACAATAAGTATTGGTGAGAATGTGGGGGGAAAGGCACTCATACCTTGCTTGTGGGACTGCCAGTTGGTGCAACCACTCTGGAAAGCAATATGGAGATTCTTTAAAAAACTCGAAATGGAACAACCATTTGACCCAGTTATCCCTCTCCTCAGTGTATACCCAAAGTACTTAAAATCAGCCTACTTCAGTGACATGGCCACATCAATGTTTATGGAGGCTCAAGTTACAATAGCTGAATCATGGAACTGACCTACGTGCCATTCAACAGATGAATAGATAAAGAATATGTGGTATATACACAATGTAATATTACTCAGCCTTAAAGAAGAATAAAATAATGGCATGTGCTGGTAAATGGA